ATAAGCTGTATTAGGACGTAAATGCAACGGAGAATTGGCAACGTGCATGTGGATACCTAAGCAAGGCGCCTAGAAGGGCGAGGAAAGTTGGAGTGGAAGAGATTTACAAAGGGCGGAGCGCTCGACCAAGGCCAAGTTGATTAATGTTCCGCCTGTCGGAACCAGTAATGAAGTGGGCTTACAACGGTGGCGGTGGAGAAGGGGCGCGGCCAGAACCCGGCGGTCGAATTTGCATAAGGCACGGGTGACATCATGATTCACACGCCACGACCAAACAATGCCAACAGTTTCGAAAAGTGAAATATAGGCAACGCAGAGAATCACTCACTTCAATTTCAGGTACTTCGATGTCGACGTCGCCACCTCCGTCCGTTTTGACGAAGCAACGCCCTCGACACCCGCCACGCAATTCTTCGTTCAGCAGGCGGCATGCGTCCTTCGACACGGCCCGGGAGGTACCCCTGCCGTCGGTGGACCCACCTGCATACAGCGAAGAACAAGTCGAGTCGGACTGGACGAACATAACAACGTCGTCGGGAACATCGATGGGCCAGCAGATTCTGCCGTATCCAAGGCCCTATTCGCTGCCGTCGCAGAGCTCACCCGCATCCCCAATTCTGGCCGCTGCTGCTCCGTCTCAAATTGACCGGACATCGTCTGCCTCCTTACCAATACCGCCACAAATACCATTTCATACCCTCCCAAAAGCAGCGCCAGTTACTGAAGAGGATGAGAATCCTGGGCCCCTTCCTTCGCCGCCCTTGCCTGAGCCCCAATCCCAGACTCAGCGTCCGACGTCCCTCCCAGTCCCGACACCGATTCCCAGACCTCCTTCTATATCACGAACTAGACCCTCCTCTTCTGCATCCTCCGACTCGTATCCACCGCCTGAACCTCCAACAATTCTCCCTTCACAGCAACTTCCGGCACATTCGGAGCCATCATTAGCCCCCCACGAACCATTCCTATCAAACGCCCCCCCACCTCCGGACTCGTGGATCGAAGTCGAGACCACTCCCCAGGAGTACCGTCTCAACGTGTGCTTACCGGGTTTCAAGCGTGATGGCATGTGCGTACCTCGCTCTTTTTCATTTTTGCAATTAACTAATTAGGCCGCCTACAGAACACTAGCTTCAAAGCGGAGGCGTATATTACATGTCGTCGCAGACTCGTGGGATGCGGGCGGAGGTCATTTCGAAAGGCGCATATCATTTGGTTATGACGCCGACCTCGTCCAGGTCCGTGCCGAATTCGACGGCGAGATGCTGCGGGTCACCGTGCCCAGACGAGCGCCTGGAAGCGGGGCCATCTGGTCGAGTTAGTGTATCTTTCGTTTTCGTCGTTTCGTTTATCAGCATTCATATCTATTCCAGTATCATACTAGCATACCGCCACGTTTACTCACGTAACATACGACCGGACTAAATACCATCCTTCCTACCATTTTATTGTTGTTCATGTATGTTAGTTAGTTACCATGCATATGCGTCTGCTTTGACGACTTCTGCGCAATTAATTCAACTTTTTTTGCCAGGTCTAATTCGTAGGCACGGCGACGGGGGGATTTGCGCGTCGTCATCGATGGTATTAGTAACGCTGATAGCGCGGTTCCCCGCAACCCGGAGTGGGGTGAATGATCCTATCAGAAGTGACGTCGAGACATCCAAGGATCAAGTGAGTCGCTCTCCCCAGCATTTCTTAGCTTATTCCGGAATTTTCCCAACTTTAGACGCGGGTCGATCATATGACCGCTTCCAATGGTACCGAGAACACACTTTTTTTCGCTAATTTGTTCAGAAATCGTCAATTGACGACGTCAATACTTGACTCCTTCCGTGGTAAATGTGTGAGTCAGATCTAGCAGTGAAATGTTATGCCTTTCTCGCTCCACCGGTATGCGGGTTTCACCTTGCCATTTATACTTACTCCACTTTGCCAATCGATAAACAGCGCTGCCAGATGAGGCATCATAGTTCCTACTGATGTTCACAAAGGATCGTAAGGCATTCGATATACGTTACGGTTGTCCGGCGAAACTTTCTATTTACTCCATAATAAACAGGGTAGAAACCCCAAGAAAGCTTGGAGTTGTTCAAGCAAGCTTCGCAGTGGAGTCGTATCCTCGATACCCGGTTCCTCGCCATTCTCCGTCTTGATGCTAGCGCTATTCGCCGAAGCATTTCTATTGAGTGGACGCGGGTACCGGGAGTCTTCTATAGCACTTAATACTGGCTTCCGTGCCCAAGCTTCCGCGCTGTTCGTCTTCTTGAGTCGGCTGTAAACCGCAGTTGCTTTCTTGACCTGTGCGCCACACTCTCCACCTCACTGCTCTGTTCTCCACTACAGCGATTGCGCCCGTCATCGGAAATTTTTTCGATGACCTTCCAACGCCTTGGCCTCGCTCCCGAACGGATCCAGCAATAATCATTCCGTTGGAGCATGAATTTAGTATTGCGGGCTCCCTACACTTACTCGACTCTATTCCCTCCGAGTCTCACGTACGTTTGAAAGTTTATGAAATGAAGTACTATATTGAAACTTGGCAAAAGCATTGATGAGCAGTAAATATAGATTATACTCCTAAAGACTCACTGGGCCGTCTGGGCTGTCTGGTATACTTCAGACTACCGCCTGTAAGCTGGTCTCTCCCCCGACGACACATGCTACCATCCGGAAGAGCATGTGGATCACCGTGGAGACTCTATACGCAGCGCATGCGCACCTCCCCGGTAAAAGGGTAGTCCCCGTATCCCTTGGCAGCGTAGAAAAACTCATGTGTCAGGATGTATGACCGGTTATACCAGATCAAGCTGAAACTTTCCATCAGTATTAAGGATTCTACACATGAGGAAGGAACCGTCTTCCGAAAGTATATACATCATTCTTCTCATCGGCGGTTGTAACGATGACGGTGCAATCTCATGATAGCTTGCTTGAGTCTTGAGTATAAAAGAGAGAAAAGGCATCGACCCGAGGATCAACTAACCTCGTCCGCTGGACATGCCCCTTTCAGCCGTCCTAAACCAGTGACGATGAAGACTAGGAAGGAACATCCATGAGGAAGCGGTATATCTACATGGAAGTTGTTAGCGGGAAGGCCGATCGTGTCGACGACTTAGGCGACAGATAAGAAATGGCAGATCGAACATCTGTAGACGTGCAAGTGGGACTACAGTAATATTGAGCTACGAGGGAATTAGCTGGTGAAAAGCAATCAACAATAACGACCACATGTCCTAGTAAGCTCTTTGTCGTTATACCTTCGTGTGTTGGGTTGAATGTGGTGGTGCATCCTCACGCCAAGAGTGTGCATCCCGAAAGACTTGGCCTTCAAGTTGGTGGTAGAGGTAACTGGATTGGAGTCGTAATGAAACCTGTCTTGGAAACGGACGTGCGCTCCATCCCGAGGGACTTGGCCCATCATTGAATGTGACGTAGAGGTGGATAAATGTGGCGGAATGAGCCATTGAATTCCGAGGCTTGAGGAATGTGACAAAGCGCACTATCTGGGAAGAAAGCCAAGATGCACTAACTGAGAATGCGTGTCGTTAGTTCTGCTGTAATAAGCACGGAAGTTAACAGAAGCTTGTAGGAACAATAATTGGTAGTGAATTGCTAGCCGCGTGATCTGTCGGGAATCCAGACTCTGGGGGCACGCACTCGGGAATCGTCGAGACAGTGGAGATAGAGGCGAGTTCCGTGGCGAAGTATTTTAGGGCTGCAGATTAGCTTCAGAATGACATACTCTTATCCTCCTGTTGGCCGCAACAGAAGGTTCACATCCGGTGGTCGCAAGGCCGAGCTGCGGCAGGAACACGTAGTTCACCCTAAACGTCAGAGTACGACAAAGCATAGGATTCGAGATTCAGGACGAGTGACTTGATGGTGTATGACTGTCCTCCACTGTACGAGGAAGGGATCAACGAGTGCATGGAGTTGACCTCAGTGATAATGGCATCCCATTGTTTTGATGCCACAGAGCAAGTCGCAAAAGTTTTGATGTACTCCTCGATGGACGTTAGACTGGCCCAGATGTTGGTGGGGATACGTGCAATCAGTTCTGCGGGAGGCGTCATAGCTATAGGATGACAGGATCCGGGTCAGTAGCGCAGTTACTGCACCTAGTCTGAATTACTCCCACGCGTGAACAGCCGCTATGCCATATGTGATAGACTATACCATCGTGCCACTGCTTTTCATCTTTCCGAGTCCGCTAGATACCACATTTTCATCTAACGCTGCACAGAGACCTCACCTAGCCATTCTCCACTGGGGACATTGCGCCCGTTAGGGAAAAACCCCTGTTTTCAAAGGGTACGCGCAGGCCTGAGGTCGTGAAGGAGAAACAGAGTGCACTGTACGCCCGGCGTACGGAGCCACAGCCTTAAATTCATGCTCAGTCCAATGAGCCATTAATGGATTCATTCGGGAGTGAATTGGATGTTTGCTTTGATCTAAGAGACCTGGGCGGAAACGGGATACGCGAAGTTCGTTTGAGGCCTTCGTACACCTTAGATAACGAAGATCAGCACTGTGTTATGATGGTCTTCAATCGCGCGCACCTACTAGATTTTGGAAAGAATTGCAGGGACTATTAGCCGTCCTGTCCGTTCCGCACCAATTTGAATGGCTACATCAATGATCTCAAGGTAAAATCTTGCGTGAGTCCCAATGATGCTGCCGTACGCATCAGTTTGCTAGTGTGTCGCGTCTTACGGTGTGGACATATGTATACATCCACGTATTCTTCGATCACGTCTGGTCATGGTTGGCGAACATGAGCACGACTTGGGACAGGGAACGTCGGACTCAGTTGTGTATGAGAAAGAAGGATTCTCTTCCCAAGAACTTTGGGTCGCCTACACGCCCAAAAGACCATAGCTGACGAACGATGAAGGAAGAGCTGTGGAAGGGGTCAGTAACAAGAAGTTATTCAGCGGACGATCGATGCGGTAATAAATAAAATAGGTATATACATATGTACGCTCATATGTGTATGTGCCTCCTTGGCTCAGTTGGCTAGAGCGCCAGTCTCATACCTGGAAAGGATGAACCCAGCTGTTGGGCTTAATCTGGAGGTCGCAAGTTCGAGCCTTGCAGGGGGCATGTTTGTTTTGTATGTTTGGTCGTCGTGGACCATTGGCAGTTATATTTTCATTTGGTCGCTGCGTGCGCAAGAAGCTGCAGGTTTTTATACACTGGTTAGTTACCGGTGAATTATCTCGATGGAGGGTAACTTACCCGCTTTTGGGCTGTGGGGCTGATAGGGTAAATAACGGTATCAATACTAGGCTCTTCCGGGAGAGTCGGTACAAAACCGTATCGTACCTCCCCCTAGATAATTCGTGCGCAGCCCTAATTTTGAATTTCTATATCCGAGGGATTCGTTGTTTTGAAATCTGGAATTGATCTGGAAGTTTCGGGCCATGGATGCCAAGGCACCATATATCGAACTTCAGGTTTAAACTGTTCTAGAGATGTATATTTAGCGCTACAAAAATAAGGACTTCTTCAAGTAATGATAATGAACTTTGCCGTTAACTACAATCGATCACGCGGCGGACGGATTCTATATCAACTCAAGACCATCGCAACGTCGTATACCGCATCTAGATCGGTGGAGAGATACGCACCTGCATGAAAATTGCATCACTGGCAGCATACAAGTAGTTCTCGGAATGTCCGTTTCAGCATACCTCATTTAATTGTCCAATCTCACCAATGACCATAGCAGGTCTGTCTTCCTTTCGTACTGTATGTCTACTTCTTTTGATCTGCTTCCATCAACAACTCCTCGTCTAATTCATCGCGTTCCAATTCCATGACCTCGTTCCACATATTATCATCAATGCGCTCCTCATCTTCAAGACTATCCGCGATTTCGATGCCTTGAATTTCTCGGTCTGGCGAATATTAGACGATACCATGATTTTTGGATAAGGAAATATAACTTCACCTTTCTCTTCGTTCATTACGACGATCCAAACAACCTTCTCAGTACCCCAGTGCTCGAGAAGGTCGGCATTCGCTACTCGCCTCTCTAGCTTGGATTCCTTTGGTCCAAGGATCGCGCTTACCAGACCACCTCGTCTCTTGTTATAGTCCATCCTCATGCGCTGCAACCTTTCCCGCCGGCTCAGGTCAGAGCCACCCGCTTCTAAACGAGCCAACTCCCTGCGCCGGGTCTCGTTTTTCTTTTCCTTCTTGTTATTTCTATACTTATCGAATCTCACACCATATTCATTCATCTTGTCCATCATACCCTCCGGCTTATGAGGAGGAGGTATATCATCAAGCTCCAATGGGAGTGCCATACCCTCGATGGCCTGAAGGCGTCGCTTAAGCACAAGATTCTTTTTAGGGCCCTCAGAAGGAGCAATCCTGTCGGGCTTATCAGCGATGGCGCGCACAATACGGCTACTGAAAGGAATTGGGAGCCAGAGCAGGATGGTCCCTGCTGTTCGACCAATTTTGTTAATCATGGATATTTTAGGCGCTTCCCCGCCTTCATTGGATATGAGCTGCAACATGGCATTCGTAGTACACAGGCGAACGGAGAGGCCTCGCGGTTTGAACATGCGCTGATTGGCCGCACGCAGGTAACGGTCGGTAAGGGTTTTCGATAGGACCCGCATCCCCGTCTGGGCCGCGGTCTGCATTGCGGCACTGGCTATTATTGTCCAGTGATATGGTCTGGGAATACGGGAGTTAGTACTAATTGTCAAACAGTTTGTGACTCAAAGGACCAACATGAGACCAATGATCATACCCGCCGTGTCCACGACTCGAAGGGGTGGACTGGCCGTCATAGCGAGGTTCAGACCGTCGATGAAAGCCAAAAGCTCAGCCTGAGGGATGTCTACAGTCTCCGAAAGTACATCATTGTATCCGCGAGAGAAGGGAGAGTCGAATTTAGTGGCGATCTGTGGGATACAGAGAGGAAGCGGGATGCCGTTGGAAGGACCAGTATATTCGCTAGGTGCAGGTAAGAAGTCTTGGATAAGAAGGTCTGCGTCGCGAGCGAGCTGAATTCCAGTGGCGCTAGAATAGGCTGGAGGGGGAGGACTTGCAGACATCGTTGTTGCGGGAGGAAGCTTGGAAATGAAACCAGTGTATCCGCAGTACAGGGTCATATATGCTAATCTAAATTTAGGCGAAACAGCGCCAAGATCTAAATTTAGAAGCAGCCTTGCTGCATTCTGCACAATAGTAAATACAACATACTGACTACCGACTTGCTACCAACACTAGCTAGTGAAAACATACTACGAGATTAGGATTTATATAACAAGGTGATCTTACAATATACAATAGTCCGAAGATATACAAGAGTCCGACTAAATGAGCAAATCTACATATGTACTGGTATAACCAAGAAATCGCTACAAAATTTTTTAAGACGCACCAAAAAATACGGGAAGGGAAGTCAAGGACTGCTCAACCCTGCACAAGCGCCATTGAACATGGTCTTTAACGCCTGATCGCTCCGCTTTTGCCTCAGCCGCTCCACTTCTTCTACTCCACCCGTTAGTTTCAACTTCTTCCCACCAACGAATTCTGTCAGCTTGGTCTGTAGATCGTCATCCGACCTCTTGGCCTTCTCTTTCTCTCGATTCTTCTGGCTCTCCTCTATCGCTTTCAGACGCTTCTCCGGGTCTGTAGCCGCACCTCGTATCTGCATCAACACGGTGCCTAGATCACCCTTGCTTTCCGTGCGCACCACAGGAAGGCGTCCTCGTCCTCTGTGCGATCCCATGGTAACGACCTGTTCCAGATGCCCTAGGACCTCCTCTAAAGCTTTATGATCCTCTAAAAGATCACCCAGGAGCTCCTCGTTATGATTGAGGAACTCTTGCTCCTCAACGATATTCTGGAGCTCTTCATGCCACGTCTTCTTCCACATGGGCTTGATCGTCGCAAGATGCCCTTTGAGGCTCCCCAGCTCGGCTGCTGCTGCGTCTGCATCCTTCCGAATCGACTTCATGTAATGCGGTCTGGGCGTTATGTGTCTCTTCAGTACGTCGGCCTTCACGGCATCAATCGCATCCTGCAATCTCTCCACCTCCGTCAAAATACTCTGACTTCGAGTATCGAGAGCCTTTTTGCCGGCGTCGACAATAGCACGGTCACCACCGACGTTTGCATTAGCCAGTTGCTTCACTGTCTGAGTTTGGGTGCGGAGAGTACCTAAAGACTCCTTGGTTTGCTTCATAAAATCGGTATAGAGCTGCCTCATGACGCCTAGGTCCCTTCGTAGACATTGTACCTCGTCAAACTGGGTCTTGAGATCGGCCATGGCACGCGGAGGATATTCAGAAGACGTTATTTGCAGTTTCAACGCTTGACCGGTGGTGGAAGGCGTCTGAGGCGGGGTTGCAGGGAAGAAGTTTGAGCCAGTGAACCGTGACAGGCGGGCGGAAACCGGTGGGGGAGTCGAGGGAGCACTCTCGGCTATTGGACTGTACATAAGGGATTGCATACTAATCCTGTTGACAGCAGATTTCAGTTCTTTCATATCCTCAGACAAGGTCGAAATCTGTGTATCCATGTGCTGTTTAACCTGCTCAGTGGCTACATACTGCACGTTAGCTAAAATTCAACTTCCACATTGTGAGTGCTCACGTTCGATATTCAAGGAAAGCAAGCATTTATCTTGAATCTCGTTAACATCTTCCAGCTGGTACCGTACACCGCTCGAAGAATCACGGATATAGATAGCAGGGAAATTATCAGCGCCAGGATTGTAGGCGAAACGGTCCACGAATAACATTCGAATCGAAGGTAGTGACAGACCGGGTTCTATCACAGTTTTTTTGACTTCTTTGTCGACTTGCAAGAAGACGGTCAACTTTGACGAAGCGGGTGGACATCCCCTACCGATATTTGAAACCGGTGGTTTTTTCGGGGATGGAGGACGTGACGGCGGTTCTGGCGTACGGTTGGGAGTGCGGTTGGGAGTGCGAGTAGTCGACGGGGGTCTTGAGCGTCCTGGCGATTGTAAAATCGCACCGAGCGAAGGGGAAAGAGAAGACAAAACGGACCCTCGGCCCATAGGCGGACCGGGAGAAGAGGGAGAAGGAGAAGTTCTGTCATCGTCCAGATTAACAAGTGCTGCCAGCTCCCTCGGCGTCAATGCAGGTGAGGCCAACATGGAGTGCGTCTTGCCCTTGAATTTTTCCCGTGTAGAGTCAATCATTTTAGAAATATTGTAGGATGAGTATCGCTTTGAAGCACGGCGTTCGAGAATATCGCTTTTGTTTAGAGCAACAAGTGAATCTACCATGTCCGGGGTCGCAGTATCAGTCGACGGAATGTGACTGTTATTCGACGCTTCCTCTTGGCTTTCCGGACTCGGAGGCTCAACAACGACATCTGGAGACGGAGGTCGTGGTAAGCATACGTATGCGTGACGCCTCGTCTCTGATGTGGAAGCCCGTTGAGAAGAAGTCTTTGAAGGAGAAGAGCCAGTGACTGGAGGATGTTTAGATGGGACGGGCGGGCGATGTGATGACGATGACTTATGAGACGTGTAGGATGTCTGCTCAGGGTATGACAAGCTTTCAAAGGAAACCTCCCCCACAGGACTGAGGGGACCACGGGACGCTTTGCCGGTATTCCTTCTACTGGATGGAGGAGCAGCCCCCCGACTTTCGCTGTCCTCTGTGGTGCTCCTCGAGAGTGGACTCAGATGGGAGTTCGGCCCGTAACGTGATGAGCGACTGTCCGTTCGACTGTCACGTTGAGAACCCCGCCGTTGGTCGGAGAGCTGGCGACGGCAAGCAGACTGCTTTACGTGCAGACCAGAGAGTAAATTGGTGATCTTTTTGACGCTCGGAAGATATAATTCAAGACTCTCGGGTGTGGGGTCCTCAGCAAGACACTGTTCCAGGACATTCCGCAAGTCCCCTGGAAAAGCAAGAAACTCACTATCCATGGTCAGGTATCGCTGGGCTAATAAAAGTGGAACTCACCTCATGTCGACATTAAACTGAGAAAACACCTCTATAGCAGCATTGAAGTCGTTTCCCACCCGAACGTATACATCGCTGACATAGGCCTCATCCACTTTCATCAAACTCCACTGCGTCAATGCTACCAACAACTTC